GGATCAGGGACTATTAGTATATGACGTATTACAGATAAAAAGTGCTCAGTTATAATACAGGGAAGTACTGATCAGTGGAATCTCTATTAACTGGCCAAGTGTCGGTTAAAATTTATTAACCTGGGGTAAAGTGTGAGCGATAGGGTGATAATCTAAGGACAATACATCCTACAAAAGAACAAGTCTAAGAATTTATAGACCACGTGAAAAAATGTTACCACTTTCATATTTTGCGCAACCAACATTCAGTGACGTTAGTGACTCAGTTAAACGTAAGAGTTCATTTACATCTAGTATTCATCTTTACTTTCTTTATACGGCTAACCAAACAATTCTCGATTCAGTTCAGAAATCCTAGTTCGAGAATAGTGATTTTTTGGCACCCATAAAATGTTTTGCTGAAGTGGACAGCACCCAATGATTTTCTCTATCTAGAGACTCCGTCCATTGCTCGTCTGCTACAAGGGGGTTAGCTGTGCTGGATAAACCTTTCCTGAAGACATTTTGTTTGTTGTCTAAAAAGTTGTTGGTATATACGAATATCACCATGGAATTTCGATCATTTTTCACAGTATTTAGGCCATGTAACCAGTGAGGCTGGTACGTCCTAAGTTCGATTAGTATTGTTTAAATTCTCACTTGTTGACTGGAATGACAATAAATCCTTCCAGTCCATAGATAACCGACATTGATAAAGTGACATTAAGGAAATCGTAGCGAGTGGAGAATCAATCTATTGTGAAACTTGTCTCCAGACTCGATGGTTCAGTTCATTCAGCCATGTTGAAGTTCATTTATCTAAAGTGCTTGAGGCCTTTAGTATGTAATTATATCTCATTAGTATCAAGATTAACTCCGCCTGTAGCTCTTCTAGAGTTACTGCAGGTCCCAAACCCGGGTAAAGGAGGAGGGTTGGGCATGAAGTTAGCGACCCCATCCCGTAGAAAAGCTAACTCGCTAAAAAGCGCTAACCAGAAAAAATTATTCAAATCATTTAGACTCTGCCCTGGGAGTTGAAGGAATAATTATGACTCCTCATGATGAAAGCCGAGTTCCTTCAGAAGTCATGAGGCCGATGCACCTTCAAACAACCAGAGCAACAATTTTTATAGGCACAATGAACGTCCGGACAATGTGGGAGACAGGGAAGACCAGTAATAATAATAATAATAATATATTTCTGCAATAGCAGGTACACGCCATTTTTACAGGCATGATCTACAATTTACAACATATACCGGTTCACAGTATGCATCTCAAGCAACGTTGTTTAATATTTATAATCTACAAAAGTTGATAGCAGTTCATTCGTTCAGATATAATGTGTTTTCATAAGAATAGTTTCCAAAGGGGCATCGCGTCAACGTTACCTACCAGATCCATTCTCGACAAACAGTGTATTAGGGTTTCGGTCGAGCTAAGTATTTATGTAATGCAGCTTTTTAAGTTTATAGTTGTTATAAAGTAGGCTTGTGGAGCGCCTGGTTCGAACTATAACCTTGGGAAAGCGCGTTCTTTGAGCTTGTTCCAGATGTCAGAAGTTACATAGCTTCACCCTCAGAGCAAGATTCTGAAGAGAAAAAAAGAGAGAGTCAAATAGCAATTGAAATGAGAAGATACAACTTGGCAGTGCTCGGAATCAGCGAAACTCATTGGACACAAACTGGACAACAAAGTCTAGGTACAGGAAAGATGCTGCTGTACTCCTGTCACGAAGGGGAAAATGTCCCACACACTCAGGGAGTTGCTCTAATGCTGTCCAAAGAAGCACGAAATGCACTCGTAGGATGGGAATCTCATGGACCCAGGACAATCAAAGCATCATTCAGAACAAAGAAGCAAGGGATCAAAATGTACATTATCCAATGTTATGCACCCACCAATGATAGAAACGACGATGATAAAGATCAGTTCTATGAAAGGCTGCAATCAATTATAGGGAAGTGCTCACGAAAGGACCTCACCATCCTGATTTGAGATCTAAATGCTAAAGTTGGAGTGGACAACACAGGATATGAAGATATAATTGGACGACATGGACTAGGAGAGAGAAATGAAAAAGGGAAGTGACTTGCAAATCTATATACATTCAACAACTCGGTTATAGGCGGCATAATATTCCCACACAAGCGCACTTACAAAGCTACATGGATCTCACCGGATCACACCACAGAGAACCAGATAGATCGTATTTGTATCAACAAAAAATTCCGAAGGTCAATGAAATATGTGAGAACCCGGAGAGGAGCCGACATAGCTTCAGATCACCACCTGGTTGTGGCCAAGATGAGACTGAAGCTAAAGAAACACTGAACAACTGGACAAACAGCACTACAAAAGAAGCACTAACTTCAACGTGTCAGGAGGTTCTTGGTCCTAAGAAGCATCATCATAAGGAATGGATCTCTATGGGAACCCTGGACAAGATTCAAGAAAGGATGTACAAGAAACTAGCAATTAACAACAGTCGAACACGAGCAGAGAAAGTCAAAGCACAAGCAGACTACGCAGAATCAAACAAGCAAGTGAAGAAAAGCATTAAAGCCGACAAGCAGAAATACATGGGAGAACTAGCAACGGCGGCGGAAAAAGCTGCAAGAGAAGGGAATATGAGACAACTATATGATACAACGGAGAAATTGGCAGGGAGATATAACAAAACAGAGAGACCAGTCAAGGACAAAGAAGGAAAGACAATCACTGAGATTCAAGAACAGAGGAAAAGATGGGCAGAATACTTCGAGGAACTGCTGAATAGACCAGCCCCATTGAATCCACCGAACGTCGAAGCACCTTACAATGACCTTCCAATAGATGTCACTCCGCCAACGATCGAAGAAGTCATGATGGTCATCAGACAAATCAAAAGTGGGAAGGCGGCAAAACCTGACAATATACCAGCAGAAGCACTGAAGTCAGACATTGAAATAGCTGCAAACATGCTTCACCTTCTATTCAAAAAGATTTGGGAAGAGGAACAAGTGCCAACGGACTGGAAAGAAGGATATCTCATCAAGATACCAAAGAAAGGAGATCTGAGCCTATGTGAGAACTACAGAGGTATCAGTTTGTTATCAGTACCAAAAAAAGTTTTCAACAGAGTGCTACTGAATCGGATGAAAGACGCAGTAGACGCCGAACTTAGGGATCATCAGGCTGGATTCCGTAAGGATCGGTCGTGCACAGACCAGATTGCGACACTACGGATCATCGTTGAACAATCAGTTGAGTGGAACTCATCACTATACGTCAACTTTATTGACTATGAGAAGGCGTTTGACAGCGTGGACAGGAGAACATTATGGAAACTTCTTTGACACTACGGAGTTCCTGAAAAGATTGTCAACATTATCCAAAACTCATACGATGGACTACAGTGCAAAGTGGTGCATGGAGGAGAACTGACAGATGCATTTCCAGTAAGGACCGGAGTCAGACAAGGCTGTCTACTCTCCCCCTTCTTCTTTCTTCTGGTGATCTACTGGATTATGAAGAATTCGACATCTGGGGGGAAACACAGAATAAAATGGACTTCTCAGAATCAATTAGACAATTTGGACTTCGCAGATGACCTAGCCCTCCTATCTCATACACACGACCAAATGCAGATGAAGACAGCAAATGTAGCAGCAGCCACTGCATCGATAGACCTCCACATTCACAAAGTAAAAGCAAGATTCTCAAATACAACACGGAGAACACCAATTCAATAACACTTGATGGCGAAACTCTGGAAGAGGTGGAAACATTCAAGTACCTGGGGAGCATCGTTGATAAACAAGGAGGATCGGATGCAGATGTAAAGGCGAGGATTGGCAAAGCAAGGGCAGCATTTCTACAATTGAACAATATATGGAACTCACAACAACTCTCAACTAACTTCAAAGTGAGAATCTTCAATACGAACGTCGAGACAGTTCTACTGTATGGAGCTGAAACGTGGAGAACTACTACATCCATCGTCAAGAAGGTACAAGTATTTATAAACAGGTGTCTATGCAAAATACTCTTCATTCACTGGCCGGATACTATCAACAACAGCGTTTTATTGGAGAGGACAAACCAGCTTCTAGCTAGAGAGGAGATTAGGAAAAGACGTTGGAAGTGGATAGGATATACATTAAGGAAATCACCAATGTGCATTACAAGGCAATCCCTAGCATGGGATCCGGAATGGAAGCGGAAAAGAGGGAGGTCAAAGAACATATTAAGCCGGGAAATAGAAGCAGATATGAAAAGGATGAATAGAAACTGGAAAGGAAGGCTCAGGACAGAGTTTGATGGAGAATACTGGTGAGCGGCCTATGCTCCTCGACGAGGGGTAAAAGGCGTAAGTAAGTACTAAGATTATATAACTATGATAAGTATTGAATATATCGAGCACGTTTTTCAACAATTGTCCACAGAAAAAGAAACATTCTATGACCTAATATTCAGAGCTACTCCTTTGTCTAGGAGAGGGCCATGAGTTAAAACTGTCCCGAAATAATGTACCATGGCTTCTGATTTGTCCCGGCCTTCCTCCACACACTAAGGTAATTGCATTGAAAAACCAATGGTGCATCGTTGTTCTGAAATTTATGAACAAGAAAAGTTTATTTATCTTCTTGGTTTCAGATAGTGCCAATTCATTTTCACATGTTTACTATGCTACCTGGGTTGCACTTTTACACTTATTTCGGAAAGACCTGGAGCGCTCCATCGTTTATGCTATGCCGAGGCTAATGACAACGCTTCAAAACTTTTTCTTTCGTCTCAACAAATGTCAGATCTCCCAGTTTATCCATAGGTAGGAGTGATTTTTCTTCTTCTGGACTGTCAGGATATAAATGGTTGAGTTACACGATTGCAATGAGAAATGAGACCACGTCTCTCTTATTGATATTATCATGTGTTATTTAATTTTTAAATCTGTCTCATTGAAAATGCCAATCATTTTATCACCAATCTCCGATGCATGGATTAATAAATTCCTTGAGAGATACCCTTGTTTTAACCATCTACTTCGGAAGTTCCAGAAATCTGTACATAAACGAAACAGCTGTTTGCACAGAATTAATTGCTGTGGTCGAAAATACTCGAAGAATGCAGATATTCGTAAAGACATTGACAGGGAAGACGATCACGTTGGAGGTGGAGCCTAGTGATACTATTGAGAATGTGAAAGCGAAGATCCAAGACAAAGAAGGTATTCCTCCTGACCAACAACGTTTGATCTTCGCTGGTAAGCAGTTGGAAGATGGACGTACTCTGTCTGACTACAACATCCAGAAAGAGTCGACTCTGCATCTTGTCCTTCGTCTACGTGGTGGAATGCAAATATTTGTGAAGACGTTGACTGGTAAGACGATCACGTTGGAGGTGGAGCCTAGTGATACTATTGAGAATGTGAAAGCGAAGATCCAAGACAAAGAAGGTATTCCTCCTGACCAACAACGTTTGATCTTCGCTGGTAAGCAGTTGGAAGATGGACGTACTCTGTCTGACTACAACATCCAGAAAGAGTCGACTCTGCATCTTGTCCTTCGTCTACGTGGTGGAATGCAAATATTTGTGAAGACGTTGACTGGTAAGACGATCACGTTGGAGGTGGAGCCTAGTGATACTATTGAGAATGTGAAAGCGAAGATCCAAGACAAAGAAGGTATTCCTCCTGACCAACAACGTTTGATCTTCGCTGGTAAGCAGTTGGAAGATGGACGTACTCTGTCTGACTACAACATCCAGAAAGAGTCGACTCTGCATCTTGTCCTTCGTCTACGTGGTGGAATGCAAATATTTGTGAAGACGTTGACTGGTAAGACGATCACGTTGGAGGTGGAGCCTAGTGATACTATTGAGAATGTGAAAGCGAAGATCCAAGACAAAGAAGGTATTCCTCCTGACCAACAACGTTTGATCTTCGCTGGTAAGCAGTTGGAAGATGGACGTACTCTGTCTGACTACAACATCCAGAAAGAGTCGACTCTGCATCTTGTCCTTCGTCTACGTGGTGGAATGCAAATATTTGTGAAGACGTTGACTGGTAAGACGATCACGTTGGAGGTGGAGCCTAGTGATACTATTGAGAATGTGAAAGCGAAGATCCAAGACAAAGAAGGTATTCCTCCTGACCAACAACGTTTGATCTTCGCTGGTAAGCAGTTGGAAGATGGACGTACTCTGTCTGACTACAACATCCAGAAAGAGTCGACTCTGCATCTTGTCCTTCGTCTACGTGGTGGAATGCAAATATTTGTGAAGACGTTGACTGGTAAGACGATCACGTTGGAGGTGGAGCCTAGTGATACTATTGAGAATGTGAAAGCGAAGATCCAAGACAAAGAAGGTATTCCTCCTGACCAACAACGTTTGATCTTCGCTGGTAAGCAGTTGGAAGATGGACGTACTCTGTCTGACTACAACATCCAGAAAGAGTCGACTCTGCATCTTGTCCTTCGTCTACGTGGTGGAATGCAAATATTTGTGAAGACGTTGACTGGTAAGACGATCACGTTGGAGGTGGAGCCTAGTGATACTATTGAGAATGTGAAAGCGAAGATCCAAGACAAAGAAGGTATTCCTCCTGACCAACAACGTTTGATCTTCGCTGGTAAGCAGTTGGAAGATGGACGTACTCTGTCTGACTACAACATCCAGAAAGAGTCGACTCTGCATCTTGTCCTTCGTCTACGTGGTGGAATGCAAATATTTGTGAAGACGTTGACTGGTAAGACGATCACGTTGGAGGTGGAGCCTAGTGATACTATTGAGAATGTGAAAGCGAAGATCCAAGACAAAGAAGGTATTCCTCCTGACCAACAACGTTTGATCTTCGCTGGTAAGCAGTTGGAAGATGGACGTACTCTGTCTGACTACAACATCCAGAAAGAGTCGACTCTGCATCTTGTCCTTCGTCTACGTGGTGGAATGCAAATATTTGTGAAGACGTTGACTGGTAAGACGATCACGTTGGAGGTGGAGCCTAGTGATACTATTGAGAATGTGAAAGCGAAGATCCAAGACAAAGAAGGTATTCCTCCTGACCAACAACGTTTGATCTTCGCTGGTAAGCAGTTGGAAGATGGACGTACTCTGTCTGACTACAACATCCAGAAAGAGTCGACTCTGCATCTTGTCCTTCGTCTACGTGGTGGAATGCAAATATTTGTGAAGACGTTGACTGGTAAGACGATCACGTTGGAGGTGGAGCCTAGTGATACTATTGAGAATGTGAAAGCGAAGATCCAAGACAAAGAAGGTATTCCTCCTGACCAACAACGTTTGATCTTCGCTGGTAAGCAGTTGGAAGATGGACGTACTCTGTCTGACTACAACATCCAGAAAGAGTCGACTCTGCATCTTGTCCTTCGTCTACGTGGTGGAATGCAAATATTTGTGAAGACGTTGACTGGTAAGACGATCACGTTGGAGGTGGAGCCTAGTGATACTATTGAGAATGTGAAAGCGAAGATCCAAGACAAAGAAGGTATTCCTCCTGACCAACAACGTTTGATCTTCGCTGGTAAGCAGTTGGAAGATGGACGTACTCTGTCTGACTACAACATCCAGAAAGAGTCGACTCTGCATCTTGTCCTTCGTCTACGTGGTGGAATGCAAATATTTGTGAAGACGTTGACTGGTAAGACGATCACGTTGGAGGTGGAGCCTAGTGATACTATTGAGAATGTGAAAGCGAAGATCCAAGACAAAGAAGGTATTCCTCCTGACCAACAACGTTTGATCTTCGCTGGTAAGCAGTTGGAAGATGGACGTACTCTGTCTGACTACAACATCCAGAAGGAGTCAACCTTACATCTTGTTTTACGCCTGCGTGGAGGCATATGATTTCTGTTAAAGTTAATTTAAAAAATAAATTTTAATTTGATTCTAGTTCTAAATGTATTCCTGTTTTGCGAACGTCTTATGATGTTGGTTATTGTGTTGTACGAAGTAGTGCTTTGTAGGAGTGCGATTTGATCGAAGCATATTCGAGCTTGTATATATATTCATGACCTAATCACACTGTAGAACAGGCTGTCTGGACCTTAATACTAAATGTGTTTGACAACGTAGGCATAAGAAGTTGTATAGTATTGAGTGAGGATACGTGTTTAGGGATTTGTGGGACAGCAAATGCAAATAAAGGGACTTTCATTAATACAACCGTTTTCGCGACGTTGCATAGTACTTTACTGTAGATAGCGACCACATATCCGACTTGATTTTGTATGCCCAATCCACTTTCGGCGTCTTTTTGTAGTTCCCGTTTCAGTTGTTTGTTAGTTTGTTCTCTCCCGCAGTAGGTTGATGCTGATGGTATCCGGCCTACGGACAATGAGTACCTTGTGTGGACGATTGTTTTAAAATACCTGTACTTCTTTGATGGTGGTTGTAATAGTTCACAGAGTCCCAGCTCTGTACAGTAGGACTGTCTTGACGTTGTTATTGAAAATTCTCACTTTGATGTTTGATGACAGTTGTTTTGAGTTCCATATGTTCTTCACTTGTAGAAATGCTGCCCTTGTTTTGCCAATCCTCGCCTTTACACCTGCATCAGATCTTCCTTTTTCATCAATGATGCTTCCCAGGTACTTCAATGTTTCCACCTCTTCCAGAGTTTCGCCATTAAGTGTTATTGAATTAGTGTTCTCCGTGTTGTATTTGAGCATCTTGGTTTTTCTTTTGTATATGTTGAGGCCTACTGATACAGAGGCTGTTGCTACACTGTTTGTCTGGACCTGCATTTGTTTGTGTATGGGATAGAAGAGGTAGGTCATCTGTGAAGTCCAAGTCGTCTAGTTGCATCCAAACTTTCTATCGCATTCCGTGATTCCCCTGAGATTTTGAGATCTTCATAATCCAGTCAACCACCAGAAGAAAGAGAAAGCGAGAGAGTAATCATTCTTGTCTGACATCGGTCCCCACTTAAAATGCATCTGTCGGTTGTCCTACATGCACGACTTTGCAGTGTAGTCCGTCGTATGAACTCCGTATGATGTTGACGATATTCTTAGCCACTCACTCCATAGTGTCGAAGAAGTTTCCATAAAGTCATCCTACCCACACTGTCGAATGCTTTCTCATAGTCAAGGAAGTTGGTGTGTAGTTACGAGTTCCATTTAATCGATTGCTCAACAATGATCCATCGTGTCGCGATTTTGTCTGTGCACGACCGATCCTTACGGAATGCTACCTGTTGATCTTGGAGCTGGACATCTACTGAATTCTCCATCCAGTTCAACAACACTTTGTTGAAACTTTTCCTGGTACCGATAGTAGTGTGATGCCTCTGAAGCTCTCACACTTGCTGAGATCCTTGTTTTGGTATCTTGATGAGATATCCTTCCCAGTCTGTTGGTGCTTGCTCTTCATCCCATGTCTTCTTGAATAGAGTGTGAAGCATGTTTGCAGTTACTTCAATGTCTGACTTCAGTACTTCAGCTAGTATGTTGTCATGTGCTGCTGCTTTTCCAGCCTTGTTTTGTCTGATGGCCATGCTGATTTGTTCGATCGTCGGTGGAGTGACATCTATAGGAAGGTCTGTGTGTGTCGCTTCGGTGTCCTTTGGGTTCAGTGGGGCTGGTCTAATCAAAAGTGTTCTACACACCTGTTACTCTGTTCTTGAACTTCAGTAATTGGCTTGCCTTCGTTGTCCTAGACTGGTCGTTCTGGTTTACCGTATTTCCCAGCTAGTTTCTTGGCCCGGCACCTAGTGACACGTTGAAGTTAGTCCCTCTTTGGCCCCTTTTTGTCGATGACTACTGTGAGAAAATAGAGTCCTATCTTGAATGTGTTTGATTGTGTCTTTTTTTCTTTTTGTGAAGGTATCAGTGATGTTTATCCTTAAAGCTAACAAGAAGGCAGACATTTCAGCACATAACTGATCGTTAAGGATACGAAATTCCAATGTAAACTGGCCTCAAATTTGATTATAAGGTAGAGAATTTAAGTGTTGTAATTCCTTATCATGCAAGAAACTGATCAGGACTTTCACTGTGTTATTACTTACTCGTCAGACATGCTCGTCATTGTCAGTATCTTTAAAAAGACATGGATTAGCTGCTTGAATTCAGTATTTTATGTGAAGTGTCAGGTGAGCAGGGTACGAAGTCTGAAACATATTTTCGTCAAGGCATCTAAAGATTTTGCAAAGTGACCATACTACGCAAAATCATTCAACGGCTGTTGCATTGTAGTGTAAGGTCGTTTTCAAGTCACGACTTAAAGTTTCTAGATGTCCTTAATCTTGTGAGAATGGCGTTCCATTTCTTATGTAATTCTGGTTGTTGAGCTGGAATTGATTCAACGACGGATAGACTACTTTTATAGCCGAGAAGACAGACGTAGTAATTGTGGCTTTGAACATTTCGACCCGTGGAAAGTGATCGTTAGGAATAGTTGGAGGCTGTGAAACAGGTGACGACGGAAAGATTAGGAAAGCAATCGTCCGTACGAATAACGGAATAATTAGTAGGGATATACGTAAGGTATGTATCCCTGAAGATTCTAATTAGTTACTTGTCATAAAAACGTGGGTAGGTTGGGTAGGCGTACTGCTTTAAGTCCTACTCGTTTCTCTAGTGCGGACTAAACACCGATCTGTTTTTGGTCAGTATTGCGTCTAGAAAACCAAGATTGTCTGCTAACCGTTCAGATGAATTGGTTACGGAAATTAAGTTGTTTATAGGTACTAACTAAAGCGATTTCAAGCAAATTTACTGGTGCATATCGTACATGTGACATTTACTGAAGCATATCTCGCTAGATGGTATATAATTCATTCATGCTTTCATTGTGCTTCTTATAGGGTTCTATATAATCCTTTTAGTATGAGATCCAAGATCCTTAGGTCTGAAAATGGACACCATAATATCAGACCACTTTAATCCATTTCTTATAAACCACAATCCTCATCTACTGCTACCATTGATTTTTCATCTCAATGTGAACTTGATTAAATTCATATGTCCCAGGAAATAAATGACAGTCACCAATTAAACCAAGATGACAATCCAGACAATTTTGCCTGTAGCTGTCCTAGAGTTATGCCAGTCCCAAGTCTGGATGAAGGAGAGAGGTTGGACATTGAGTCAGCAACCCCATTCCATAGAAAACAACCTTGCTAAAAACACACTCACCAGAATAAACAACTTAAGCCATTTAAGATCTTCCCTGTGAATTGGAGGATCTTCATTCAGAAGGATTATGGTGAAAGTTTTTGATATAGCTAACGGTAAATACTGAACGACTTCTTTAGCTGAGGGATATATAAACCTTGTCTATCATAGACTATTTTGCCGATGAACTGTATCGGTGCCGTCGATTTCTCGTATTTATGATTTTTAGTTCGAAAGGTTTAATGAGGTATTGGAAAGTTAATTTGTCCTAGTTTCAAACACCTCACCAAGTTTCACCGTAGTTACCATTCTTCTAATTCATTGATTCATAATCTTTGTGTATTCATTAATATACACTGCGAAAATGTTTCGGATGTGGGTGACGCCGTTGTCAGACAATCTCTTGTATTCCAGTTGATTGTCGTTCGTGAATAAAATTGTCATATTGAAGATCTTCTAGTAACAGAGACAGAGCTATACTATAGAATTGGCTATTGAGAGTGATGAATGAATATAAGTAATGGTATTGATTGTCTGTACATGATATTATTATTATGGTGAAACGTATGAAGGAGATTACAAAACACGTGAAGTGAATTTTGTGGGAATCAGTTTGATTATCCCTTATTTGTAAGTGTTAAAATGTTGATTTATGGTATTTTCATATTATCCCAGTTGTAGGCTTTTACTAACTCCTACTAACCGTTGTAATATTTTTCACCTCAATAAGTTTCAGTCAATTAACCATAAATCTGTTATTTGTTACAAATTTCCTATGTGTATACCTTTGTATGTTTATTATTTCTGACTTGTTGTAGTCTAGCATTTTATGTTTTGTCACGTGAGTTCTTGACTTCGAATAACGATACAAATAACAAGATGTTTGGGTGATTTTTCTGGTGTTCTGAATAATGAATTGCGTGAATACTGTTTGAGTCTATCAGTCGTTAGCGCGCACAGTAACTTTGTCGGTGGAGTCAGTGTTATTAGTCTAAGTGGGAGTATCAACAGATATCTGTGTGGAAACTTATCTGCCTATGATTTTGATGTGTAGACCGTTGAGGTACTTATGGTTTACTACAGAATTTGATAATAATGTGTCTAAGGCTGGTTACGAATGAGACTTAAAGGTTTTGAACAGGCTGTATGAATGGTTAAGAAAGGACGTTGATGGTTTACGATGAAACCTACTTTGAACCCAGTTTTCAATGATAATAGTTGCGAAGGTGTAGTCTCTTCAGATTAACACTTAAGTAGAGAAATTTAGTTTTGCTACCTGACCTCAGCATTGAACAGTTTGTAGAATAGAGACTTTTGATAACTGTGTTGGCGCCATGCCTTTTTTCATAATCACATCTCAAACAATTATCGGCATTTGTGTCTAAGCCAGTATATGAGACTGTTTTTCGAAGCCTGAAAGGTTTACAAAATGTATGATGTATCTCACTGACATTAACACCGAACCGGGTAGATTTGGAAAAAACGACAGTATTGTAGAAAATCTGGAAATTTCAGTTACAGAGTTGGTAACTACGGTTTACCAAATATTCGCTTTCCACTCATATGATTTTTAAATGTAACAATAGTTATTACAAAAAAATAAGCGAAAGTCATGTGAGATAACTATGATATTTGTGGGAATGTTTAATAAATAAGTTGAAAGATATTTCTATGCATGCGATTGTTAAAATCAAGACGACAACAGACTATGACTAGTACGACTGATTTATTTAACTTTTTGTAATTTGAGAAAAACATACTCTGTCGAAATATTTTAG